CCGGTTTCATACAGCAAGTTTTACACTGTATGTAATGGGTGGCTCATAACTTGCCGCAAGCCAATGAAATTAATGCAACAATGGTCGGGTACAATAATACCATAGATAGGAATTAAGGGTTGAATTGAAAGGTACTTAGTCATGGACCTTCAGCTGAAAACATTGGTTATGCAGGAATATAAACTCTCTTTCCGATCTGTAGTCTACGGACAGTTTCTCCCTTAGATCCCTTTGGGGGAAAAGTTTAAAGAGCAAGAAGTTACTCTGCCGACACAACATTTTTAATTTTGATGAGTTAATGATGATGTAACCTTATATTGAAATGTCGGAGACAAGTCCCATGTATTACTTTGAGACAAATCTGAATTGCTTTCATGCTAATAGACACGAGATCCACACAACTAAATAGAACACTAATATAAATCAAATGTACAGTATCTCTATGCATGGGACATACAGGGTTGATTTTTACCAGTAGCAAATTGGAAGCAATAGAATACAGTAAGTGAGCATTATACCAAATACAATGAGACAGAGATCAAAAGACCTGCCTCTTTTAAATAAATAAATGTCCTGTCTAATGGAGGACACTTTATTTAATTCAAGAATATCAGTGAGAGTGGAACAAATGTGTCACTTAATTAACTGACGTCAAACCGATTGCACTGTTGTTATAAAAAAAATTATTTATACAAAATGTTAAAAGCACTGGCACCCTACGCACACTAGAAAGTAAAATATGCTGAATCACATGCAAGCTTCTGATAATATCTGTGTCATTGAAGCATTTAAGTAGCCTTTCCTGTTTCATTAAAATACATTTTCAAACAAACAAAATAAGAAACTACAAAAGTACATTTCCTGAAAAAAACGTGGTGTGCTTGCTAGCTTGTTTTAAAGTATTTATGGTTGTGAAAGAAGTTATAGTAGTGGTAGGGACTGCAGTAGTAATGGTTGTGACTGGTAATAGTTAAAGTAGGTAGATGGATTGATTGATTGATTGATTGGATAGGATAAGATAGGGTGGCCTGAACATGTGAAAGTTGGTTTGGTATCTCTAGCTTGAACGGTTCAAGAGCTAAGGTTGGTGTGTTGTTTTATGCTAGTTAATGCAAATGAATATAGTTATAATTTATAAAGATTTTAAAGAATTTGAAGTTAGGATACCCTGAATGTTTTAAAGTTGGTCTTGTAGCTTAATTTGCAAAGGAGCAGGCCCATTTTGAAAAGCTACCTCTGTATTCCTATGCAAATTCAACATCATTACAGTTCAAAATGTATACACAGTAGCAAAAATCATTTGATAAGAAATCAAAGTTGGGCCAGTCTGCACATCTCAACGTTAGCTTGGAGTTGATAGCTTATACGGTGAAAGAAGAGAGAATAACTTTTTTTTTTAACCATTCAAGTCTATGGCTTTTTTGCCATTGAAATGCATTGGGAGCTCTTTTAAATATTGTTGTAGTACAAAATGTATACAGTGCAATGGGAAAGTATTCAGACCCCTTAACTTTTTCCACATTTTGTTACGTTACAGCCTTATTCTAAAATGGATTAAATAAAAACATTTTCCTCATCAATCTACAGACAATACCCTATCATGACAAAGCAAAAACAGGTTTTTATAAATTTTTACAAATGTATAAAAAAAACAAAAACAGAAATACCTTATTTACATATGTATTCAGGCCCTTTGCTATGAGACTCGAAATTGAGCTCAGGTGCATCCTGTTTCCATTGATCATCCTTGAGATGTTTCAACAACTTGATTGGAGTCCACCTGTGGTAAATTCAATTGATTGGACATGATTTGGAAAGGCACAAACCTGTCTATATAAGGTCCCACAGTTGACAGTGCATGTCAGAGCAAAACCAAACCATGAGGTCGAAGGAATTGTCCGTAGAGCTCCGAGACAGGATATGGTTGAGGCACAGATCTGGGGAAGGGTACCAAAAAATGTCTGCAGCATTGAAGGTCCCCAAGACCACAGTGGCCTCCATCATCCTTAAATGGAAGAAGTTTAGAATAGCTTATACCATGAAACCAATTTCCAAATGTGCAGACTGTCCCAAATTGAGATTTTATTTATTTATAGCATTTACAGTGCATTCGGAAAGTATTCAAACCCCTTGACTTTTTCCACATATTGTTACATTACAGCCTTATTCTAAAATGTATTAAACCGTTTTTTTCCTCATCAATCTACACTATACCCCATAATGACAAATCAAAACAGAGATTTAGAAATGTTAGCAAATTTAAAATAAAATAAGAACTGAAATATCACATTTTAAAAGTTATTATTCTATTTACTTTTGTAAATTAAGTTTGATTATAGCTGAAAAGTTTTAGCCTATTATTTGGGGAGAGCAATATGATGGTGCATCTGGTGATGAAAATTCTATAAAAGTATTTTTTTTGGTAGTTGAAGAACTATGTAGAATAGGTTAGTCTGTAGGCCTGTTGATAGCTAGCTGTAGTTCTATATAATACATACATTCTTTAGGCTAACAATGATCACTGAAAAAGTAAATTTCCTGAAGAAAATGTGGTATGCTTGCTAGCTTGTGAAGGATCGACTGATTGATAGGATAGGATAGCCTGAGGATAGGATAGCAGTAGCAATAGCAATGACTGGTTATAGTTTAAAAGGTGGTAGATGAAAAGATGATTGGGTGATTGGTTGATTCATTGATATGATAGGATAGACTGAACATGTGAAAGTTGGTTTTGTGTCTCTAGCTTGAATAGTTAAAGAGTTCAAATTATTGTTGGTGGATATTATATGCACATTTATGCATATTTAATTCGTTAGAATTTATAGTGCAGACCAGAGCTAGACAAGAGCTAGTGCGAACCAGAGCTAGCTAGCTACGCCCAGGACCAAAGCTGGACAGGAGCTAGTGCAGACCAGAGAAGTAGTTGTGGACAGTTGTTGTGGTTGTGGTCAGTAGTTGTGTGGTCAGTAGTTGTGTAGTTGTGTGGTTGTGTTGCAGGTTCTTCGGGCTCTACAGTATGGACGTGGTCAGTAGTTGTCGTCAATAGTTGTGTGGTTGTGGTCTGTAGTTGTTGTCAGTAGATGTGTTGTTCAGTAGATGTCTGATCAGTAGTTAAGTGGTTGTGGTCACGTCACATATACAGTGCCTTGCAAAAGTATTCATCCCCCTTGGTATTTTTCCTATTTTGTTGCATTACAACCTGTAATTAAATTGTGATGAAAAGTGAAATGAAAAAAATAACTTATATCAAAAAAATCAAAAAAATAAATAACGGAAAGGTGGTGTGTGCATATGTATTCACCCCCTTTGCTATGAAGCCCCTAAATAAGATCTGGTGCAACCAATTACCTTCAGAAGTCACATAATTAGTTAAATAAAGTCCACCTGTGTGCAATCTAAGTGTCAAATGATCTCAGTCTATATACACCTGTTCTGAAAGGCCCCAGAGTCTGCAACACCACTAAGCAAGGGGCACCACTAAGCAAGGGGCACCATGAAGACCAAGGAGCTCTCTAAACAGATCAGGGACAAAGTTGTGGCGATGTACAGATCAGGGTTGGGTCATAAAAAAACATCAGAAACTTTGAACATCCCACGGAGCACCATTAAATTCATTATTAAAAAATGGAAAGAATATGGCACCACAACAAACCTGCCAAGAGAGGGCCGCCCACCAAAACTCACGGACCAGGCAAGGAGGGCATTAATCAGAGAGGCAACAAAGAGACCAAAGATAACCCTGAAGGAGCTGCAATGCTCCACAGCAGAGATTGGAGTGTCTGTCCATAGGACCACTTTAAGCTGTACACTCCACAGAGCTGGGCTTTACGGAAGAGTGGCCAGAAAAAAAGCCATTGCTTTAAGAAAAAAATACGAAAATACATTTGGTGTTCACCAAAGGGCATGTGGGAGACTCCCCAAACATATGGAAGAAGGTACTCTGGTCAGATGAGACTAAAATTGAGCTTTTTGGCCATCAAGGAAAACGCTATGTCTGGCGCAAACCCAACACCTTTCATCACCCCGAGAACACCATCGTTTTTCATCGGCAGGGACTGGAAAACTGGTCATAATTGAAGGAATGATGGATGGCGCTAAATACAGGGAAATTCTTGAGGGAAACCTGTTTCAGTTTTTCAGAGATTTGAGATTGGGATGGACGTTCACCTTCCAGCAGGACAATGACCCTAAGCATACTGCTAAAGCAACACTCGAGTGGTTTAAGGGGAACCATTGAAATGTCTTGGAATGGCTTAGTCAAAGCCCAGACCTCAATCCAATTGAGAATATGTGGTATGACTTAAAGATTGCTGTACACGAGCGGAACCCATCCTACTTGAAGGAGCTGGAGCAGTTTTGCCTTGAAGAATGGGCAAAAATCCCAGTGGCTAGATATGCCAAGCTTAAAGAGACATATCCCAAGAGACTTGCAGCTGTAATTGCTGCAAAAGGTGGCTCTACAAAGTATTGACTTTGGGGTGAATAGTTATGCACGCTCAAGTTCTGTTTTTTTTGTCTTATTTCTTGTTTGTTTCACAATAAAAAAGATTTTGCATCTTCAAAGTGGTAGGCATGTTGTGTAAATCAAATGATACAAACCTACTCTTTCACGCCACGCTGATCTTTGGTAATAGAATACTCCTTCTACCTGTCTCTCCTTAACTTGTTTACTGGTGTTTTGTCTCACTGCCCCGCAATTTACTGCTTGCTTCTACAGCACCAACTTATGAGTTGGTCATCTCCTGCTCGTATAGTATATGTGCAGCCAGGATCCATACTGTGAGCAAGTCCTCCGCTTTCTTTCTGTTTGCCGTACTGGTGTGTGACTCAGTTGTGTGTTGCTTGTGTGTCTGCCATTTCACATGCTGTGCTTGTTTCATGAGGCAGGGAGTGCACTGTATTTGTGAACCCACTGTAGCTTACAGCAAGCTTTTAGTAAATTCCTGTCAAAAAGACAGACACGGAATCCCAGTTAGCCGCGCTAGCCTGTAGTTTGGAGGATGCTAACGAACGGTTTCAGCGCTGCAGGAGCTGTGTTTATTTTGCTCTATTCCGGGAGAATGTGGACCGTCCGGACTTTCAATGTTACAACTGTTTGCTCACAGAGGACTACAGAGGCAAAGTGGCTACTCTTAGCAAACAAGTAGCAAACTTACACAAGCTACTGGGGAATCCAAGTCCACCTACTTACTCTTTCTCTTCTACTCCGGTTGCTGGATGACGCTCTGACCTGATGGGAGTGTCGCCGCCGTGTCATCTCTCCATAACTGACTGGTCTGTGCTCTGCAGGGATCCCTCCCTGAAGGGGTCTCCCACTGGAAAATGGAGTTAGTAGGATGCTTCTGGATGACTTAGTGGATGTTCCTATTCTTGACCGTACCAACCAGCCATGGAGGCACGTCACTCGCCGTGGAAGTCGAAAGCAGTGGCCTTTGGCAATTAGGGCCTCCTTGGCAGTGGGACGCCCGGACTGAATACAGACTTCAAACAGCTTTACCGCCATGGATCCAGAGGTTCCAGCACCTTCATCCCTAGGAGCTTCTGCTTCGAGATCGGATCCGGAGGTTCCTGCGCCTTTGTCTCCTGTTCTGACTTCCTCTCCTGTGTCTTCTATGGTGAATGATGCTTCGTTGGGTATGGGAGGCTCGAACCGGGTGCCAAGAGTTGCGGGCGTACAAGATTCTGCCTCTCGCAAGTCCTCAATTGGACTCACAAATCATGCGAGGCGTAGGAATGGGCAGATATCCTCTTCCATCTCGCCGGCTGGTGTCTTAGGCAGCTCTACGGTAAGAAACGTCTCGGATCTCGAGGAAACCCTGTGCTACCCTGGTTTCTCAAATACAGGATATTACTAGGCTTCTCCCCACCGTTCTACGTCAGCACACGGAGATTGATCCTGTTGTAGTCCATGGGAGATTTAATGACATTAGGAATGGTAGCGCGGAATGGCTGAAATAGGATTTTGAAAAAATTATTGAGTCTCTCTGCTGGATACCAAAAAACGTCCTATCATTTCTGGCCCTCTGCCCTAGCTGGGTCAAGGTAGTGAACGTTTGACCAGGCTACTAGCACTTCACAACTGGCTGCGTGACTACTGCAGTTCCTTGGGTGTAACTTTTGTAGACAACTTTGACACCTCTATAAGCTGGATGGGATCAACCCTAACCATTTGGGTGCCTGGATCCTGTCCAAACTCTACAAGGAAGCGCTGAGGCAATGACTGATCAAATCAAGCTCCTCAAAGGTATTTACTCCCATTGTCATGACTTGCCCTCATGGGTTGAGGATCAAAGATGCCAGCTAGGCAAAGGTTTGAACACCCCCTTTCCTAGGGGCCAGTTTTATGACCGGTCATAACTTCCTTACAGAAACTATATTTTCCGTGCCATGCAGTATTGGGAGAGGGATTTTCCCTGTGGAACCAAGGAATTCTTCCCGCCAAGACTCTACTTCAAAGAATGTGGGACATGGTCGGTGGGGACTTAAAGAACAATCATGTCAAATTCGTTACTATGTTGTGATGTCATTAAAGACGGTGGAACAACATAACTGTATCTCTGGGGGTGTACACTTCCCAGTTATGAGGTTTGCATCTAATTGTTGTATAAAGCGAATGATTAAGTATAATAATACTTTTGTGAAGATAACAATGTGATTTTAGCATTCTAAATGAGATGATTGTTTTCCATATTGATTTGTTCTCAGTCAGTGGCCACGCTCAGATGAGCACAAACATGATGAAACGCCCCCTTTTCTACTCAAGTATAAAACCCCTCGTGACGAAATTCACCTCAGACCAAGCAGATTACGGGATAGCCTGATGTGTCGATTGTTGAGAAAAAAACAACAACGATTTAATCCATTTTAGAATAAGGCTGTAACGTAACAAATTCTGGAAAAAGTCACCCTTCCCCAGATCTGTGCCTCAACACAATCCTGTCTCGGAGCTCTACGGACAATTCCTTCGACCTCATGGCTTGGTTTTTGCTTTGACATGCACTGTCAACTGTGGGACCTTATGTAGACAGGTGTGTGCCTTTCCAACAATGTCCAATCAATTGAATTTACCACAGGTGGACACCAATCAAGTTATAGAAATATCTCAAGGAGGATCAATGGAAACAGGATGCACCTGAGCTCAATTTCGAGTCTAATAGCAAAGGGTCTGAAAACTTATTTAAATAAGGTATTTCTGTTTTTTATTTTTAATAAATTGGCAAAAGTTTATAAAATCATTTTTTCACTTTGTCATTATGAGGTATTGTGTGTAGATTTATGAGGGAATAAAAAATTATAATAAGAAGAATAAGGCTGTAATCTAACAAAATGTGGAAAAAGTCAAGGGGTCTGAATACTTTACGAATGCACTGAATATCTTTTTTCATATACTTTCCTTTATTTTCCCCTAACCCTACAATCCCTCCCCTAATTGGAGTAAACTAATGGACAACAACTCTTAGGCTTCTACTTCCAGCTTATACATACTATATACATTTTACGGACACAGTATATTTTACAATATTTACATTTTATTTGTTTTTAGTCCCATCCTTCAGCTCCACTCAACCTCTCCAATCTATCTCTGAATACCATCCAGTTTTGATTTCTATTTGCCATATATTTTTCAACTGTGCTGTGATATTTCACAAAAGTTCTGAACCTTTCTATTGTCATAGATTATACATATTGTAAAAAGAAATAAAAATACAATTTCAAAAAGTATTATTATATTATTCATCGATTGACTATGACTTTTTACATCACCCATCACTTACATTTACATTTTAGTCATTTAGCAGACGCTCTTATCCAGAGCGACTTACAGTTAGTGAGTGCATATTTGCAGAGGGAGACATAACTCGGGGCATCTAAAGCACATTTCCTGCATTTCTACACAATCTAATATGACCCATGGCCCTTCTAGCAATCTCTATTTTGAACAACAAAAAGTAAGCAGAAATGCCCACAGTCATCAAGCTAGGTAAGAGATTATTAAACATGTTTAAGTGAGTGATAAGACTGAACTAGATCCATGATTTTTCAATAATCAATATTATGTTGCACCTTTAACCAATGGCCTAACAAATGAACAGCTCTTACAAATAAAGTACAAAGACAACTTTTGATTGTCTTTAAGACATCCTCTATATCAAATTTCAGCTAGACCGCCCAGCCAACCCGAGCTGCCTACACGCCCGACTCCCACCAGTCTAATCAATAACTCAACTCTCTCCCCAACACAACTTCCTTCCCATCTTTTTTTTTTTATGTCTCAAGGGAAACGTTTGGAAAACAAAATTTAAATGAAAACACACATACACCTACACATTAACACACAGAAACAGTACACCCTCCATATAATTAATATCATAGGCCTGATAGTACTGTGGAGCCAGTGGCGGCTCCTGAAAAAATTCTCAGGAGGGGCAATTTTTCTGATGATTTAGGTGACCTACACACATTTAAAAAAAGATATGTCCAGCAACAACATGAAGACAGGGGCAGCATATAAGTCAATACCAGAAGCATTTATTGACTGATCTCAAAAGTGTTGGCTTACCAGGGTTGGTGGAGCCCTCAGTTTCATCTTTGCCTCGCAAAGCTAACTCAAACACTCCGCAAAACTTCACACACTGGATTAGCCGGCTGAGGATGTGGCGGTTCTTGCTAATGTCGTAGTAAATATATTTGTTATAGTGAATATGGAATATGATATGTTGAGTAAAATGTTGTGCTAAGATCTATTTAGGTCAGGAGCTGGTTATACGTTCTGTTCCTATCCAATAACAATGGACAAAAGGGTCCTATCTTGTCAGCCTTGTCAGCAGGTGGCCAAGGACAACACCCACGCCATAGGCCTCTCAGTTCTTCCAACTCACGAGTTCTTGCTCTGAGGACACACACACACACAAACACACACACACACACACACACATCATCACTGTTAAACACACACACACATCATCACTGTTAAACACACACACACACACACACAAAAATCCCCTCTCTTAGGCTGAACATTTGAAGACAGAGAACCCGACTCAGAGCCAATGCAACAGTGACAGTAGCCTGGAGGTGACCTCGCCCAACTCATCAGGACCAATCAGAAGATCAGAACTACTAGATTGAACCTACTTCATTTATTGCATAAAATGTCTGCACACAATGTTTCGGGGCTCTCTTCAGATAATAATAATAATAATAATAATAATAATAATATGCCATTTAGCAGACGCTTTTATCCAAAGCGACTTACAGTCATGCGTGCATACATTTTTGTGTATGGGTGGTCCCGGGGATCGAACCCACTACCTTGGCGTTACAAGCACCATGCTCTACCAGCTGAGCTACAGGAAGTGGATACTCATGGATGCGCATTGCAATTGTAAAATGTCAACACAATTGGAGACACCACGTCATTTTTGGAGACATGTTATTGACAGTAAACTATTGTAGATGCGACTGCTAACTAAATAAAACATTTTAGCTGGCTAGCTAATCATCTTAGCTAAATGTGGGGCAAACAATTCAGTTATTTACCGTTAATTTGAGGGATTGGGGTGAAAGAAATCGAGTTACATAGTGATACTTTACGATATACTGTATTGACAATATCGCAATATTTTAGCGCTAGTTGGCTGTACCTGCACCAAAACACCATTATTGTTCCTTCATAGCTTGTTCTCAATCTTTTCACATTGGGAGCCAATTTGTTTTCAGCACTTTTATTTCCATGACTGATCAAAACTCGTTCTCATGGCTTTCTGATCCCTCTGCAACAGACATATGGTGCGCAATAAAATCACAGTATCGAATCGCAATACGTATAGAATCATGAGACTCGCAATGCTGATGCATATATCTTATCGTGAGGTTCCTGGCAATTCCCAGCCCAAGTTCATTTGCCACAACAAATCTCTTCGCTAGCAAACGCGATGTCTTCTCCAAAACGGCAATGTGTCTCCAGCAATGTTTACTTTTTTGACGTTCTATGGCATCTCCACTTTCCAAGCATATATGACCACATGTAATATTTTGGTAAGTGATGCAAATAGTGAACTATGTAGGGCCAGGATGTAAAATATATGTAGCTGCAGCAATTTCTCTTATCTGATATGGTAAGTAATGGGGCTTAATTTATAGCTCCCTAAGAGTTTGACGAACGGGTCCGTGAACGCGATTCCAGATATATTTACCTCTGAATAAACTGCCTTTATTACACCATATCCACCCTGTCCAAAGTCTCTACTTGGTCTCAGTTGGTTCTCCAGTAAACTTGTGATTATCAACACTAACCTCATCGTTGTGGCGGCGGACAGCTAGCCTGTATCCCTCGTCATCCAGTTGAGTGAGTGGCAATGTCTTTTTTCGTTCGTACCAATTTTTGGAAAATCCTCGGGTGTAGGACTTTCCGCCTTTAGTAGAAACCTGTTGAATTATTAAATTTGGTCTGGGAGGTCCTAATTGTTTCATTGCCAATTTATCTTCATTTGTTCGCCGACAAAAAGGAACTTCTTTCAAACAATCCACTCTTTTCTCAGTTACGTTCATGGTTATGTAACGTATGACGAAAGCGCGTAAGTGCAAGCCCACAGACACCCATTGAGATTGTAT